CCCCCCCCCCCGCCCCCAGGCGAGGCGCTGCATAATCACCACTGCTACCCGGCCCTGCGCCGGTGCCTGCGCGCCCGGCACAATGGCACCACCATCGAGTGCCTGCAGTACCAGGGGCAATACCACATGGTCGAGGGGTATGCCTACCTGCCGAGCGAGCTGCCCGACCGGAAGCTGGTCGGCGGGGAGCTCCTGCCCCAGGGCCCGGAGCACTGCTGGCAGGCCACCCCCGGCAACAGCAACCTCTGCGACGTCTGCCGGCACCAGGCGGCCCCGAATGGCAAGTGCCGGCCGGCGGTCCAGCCGGTGACCAACTGCACGGCCCTGGCGCATGAGCACATCAATGAAGACTGCTCGAGCTGCGCCTGGGGCAACCTCCTGACCCCGGAGCGCCGGTGCATCTCCAGCTGCTACTCCAGCGGCAGGGCGACCTGCGGCAATTTCTGCTTCCCGCCGGGGGTCCTGCCGGATGGCTTCTCCTGCGCGGCCTGGGCCATGCGCGACAATTCCCAAACCCAGTACACCTCGCTGGGCCACCCGTCGAACCACCACCTGCTCAAGTGCAGCCGGCCCGGCTTTTGCATCGACTGCCACGACAGCTGCGAGGACTGCGTCGGCCCCGGGGACCGGGACTGCCTCCGGTGCCCGGCCGGCCGGATGCTGCTGGTCAGCCGGCGCCGGACCATCGACGGGCAGCGGATCTACGCCGGGACCTGCATCCGCGGGGCCCGGAGCCCCGACGGCGGGGACCACCCGTCCGGGCCCATGCGCTGCCCACCGACCACGGCCGACATCGGCAACAACATGTGCGTCCCCTGCGCGCAGGGCTGCCACACCTGCGGCCAGCCCGCCACCAGCCAGTGCCAGCAGTGCATGCGCGGGCTTTTCCTCATCCAGGGCGGCCGGTGCTGGCCCAGCTGCCCCGCGGCCGGCACCTTCAAGGACTCGCTCACCGGCCGGTGTGTGGCCTGCTCGGTGCCCGGGTGCGGCCGGTGCCCGGCCGAGAACCCCGGCGTGTGCACCGCCTGCGCCGACCCCGCGCACAAGCTCCACCAGAATGCCTGCGTCGGGGACTGCCCGCCGGGCATGTTTCCCCTGGCCGGGGCCTGTGTCCGGTGCCCGGCCGAGTGCCGCGCCTGCACCTCGCTCGCCTGGTGCACCGAGTGCGCGGCCGGCTTCTTCGGGCATGAGGGCCGGTGCCTGCCCCTGTGCGGCCCGGGCCGGCTGTGGGACAGCACGGTCATCCCGGGCACCGGCAGCGGCTGCGACACCTGCCACCCGAGCTGCGCCTCGTGCCTCGGCAGCACGGGAAACTGCCTCGCGTGCGGGCCCGGCCGGCGCCTGGTCCTGCCCAGCCACCCGGCCGAGGCGCAGGCCTGCACCCTGGCCGACGCCTGCCCGGCCGGCTACTACCCCTCCGGCGGCCAGGAGTGCCGGGCCTGCCTGGACCCCAACTGCCAGGACTGCCCGACGGCCGAGCGTTGCTCTCGGTGCCGGGCCGGCTTCAGCCTCTTCGGCGACTTGGAGTGCTTCGCCTCCTGCCCGGAGGGCTACCACAGCCAGGGGGGCGTGTGTGTCCCGTGCGCCGGCGACGCATGCGCCCCGGCCGAGCCCTGACGACGCGGCGGCCCCCGCCGCATGTGCGCCGGCGCACATGCGTGTCCGCATGCCACGGATGTGCATATGTGCAGGGCTGTGCGTGCGTCCATGTCGGGCGACTGTGTCGGGTTGTGCAGAGACACCGACCAGCAGGCTGGCAGGGCGCACGCCGCGCTCCCGGACCGCCGGCGCCCGGCCGGCCGGCCCCCCCCCCCCCCTTGCCCGCATCCAAGTTGAACAGGCCCAGGGGGGAGGGGGGAACTGTCAATACAAGAGCCATCGATCAAGGCCCCCGCCCTGTCCCTGCGACGCCGGGTGCCGGCTTCGCGTGCTGGAGAGCACGCCCAGTCCCATCAGCGCAGGCACATGTGCCCGAACACCGACGAGGGAGGCATCAGAAGGGGGGGGGGACGCTCCGACAGGGACGTGGGCCCGGCCACCCGGGGGGCGGCCCCGCCACAGGCGCCGGCCGGTGCGTCGGAATTGTGCCGGAGTCCGAGCGCACAAGTGGGGGCCATCCCCCCGGTGCCCGGGGGGCCTGCCCGCGTGCCCGGCGGCGCCGGCATGATGTGGCGGCCCCCATAGGGCCGCTGTAATGGACAGGGGGGGGGGGAGGGGGCCATCGGCCGCAGGACATGCCAATGGGCGGCGGGTGCCATTCGCCGGGGCTCGGGCCCCGGGGCCGGGTGTGTCTTTCCCCGGGCCGGCGGAGCTCGACAGGCTGGGCCCGGGGACATGCCCGATCGAGCGGCGGGCGCGCACCGGTGGCCGGGCTTCGGCCGGGCGGCCGGCATTTCAGGGGGCACGCATGGCCCCGGCCGGGCCCCGGCCGGGCCCCATGCCGGGCTGTGTCCGCACTGCCCGGGGGAGGACGGGCCCTCTTCCCCCGACCCCCGAGCTCCCTCCCGGGCAAGGCACCCGGCAGCCCGGGGCGCCACCAGATCGGGCCGCCTGCCCTCGGCCGGCGTGGCGTGGATCCGCGCGGGGCAGGGTCGACGGTGGTCGCCCCATGCCGGCGGCTGCTGCCGGCCGGACTGCGGGGCAGGCCGGCGCGCGTCGGGGGCGCGAGCCTGCTCGGCCCCCTTTTTCGCCCGGGCTCGCTGCAGCACGGCGGGTCCCGGGCACGGAGCGCTGCCCGGCGCCGGCCCCCGAAGGATCGCACCATGCGCGCGTCCCGTCAGGAGGCATGCGGCCGGGCCACCGGGCGCATGCGCAGGCCCGCGGGCCGCCGGATTCCGGCTGTGCGCAGGGGCTTGTCGCTCGATCGGCCCTGCCGGCGCTGGGCATCCGTGTATAGCGTGCCGCCGGGGGCGAGAAGACCTCCAGGGGGGGAGGGCCGAAGGTTCGCTCGCGGATCGGGGGCCGATCTCGGGCCGCGGCCGGCACCTGCCCGGGGTGTCGCGCTGACATGGCGGCCCGTGCGGCGGCGAGCCCGGCTCCCGGGGGGCCTGGGCGCGTGAGAGCCCGCCACTGGCAAACTGGCAAGCGTCCCCTTCCATTGCCGGGGCACGGGCTTCCTCCCGGGCTGCCGCTCTGCTCCACCTCGCCCTGGCCGAAGGCCGTGGGCCGGAGTCGCGCAACGCCGCCCCCTGGCCATGCCGCACGGGCCGGCCAGAGGCCGTGCGTGCCTGGCGTCGCTCGGGCCGGGCCAGACCACACCGGGCGCCGTGCACCTCCGCCCACCCGGGAACGGAGCAGGGCCACCGCCCGGCCGCGGGGGCTCCCCCCTCGCCGGCCCCTGTGCCCGATTGGGCCGGACGGAGCCCCATGATCATGCCCGGGGCTCCGGCCCCCGCCCCGCCCCCCTGCCCCCTGCGCCACCGCACCAATCCGAAGGAAGTATGCGCAAGATGCTGGCCCCTGCCCGGCAACGGGCCCCTCGCCGGGCCCTGGCATGCCGCACGTCCCGGCCCCTGGGTGCTCGCAAGGAGCGCATGACCCCGGGTCAGGTCCCCCTCGGTCGGCGG